TGGTTTCGCTTGTTTCTTTTTTAGTAAACAACTTTCTTCAGGTGTTTTTCTGGTTTATTATTTCTGTGTAGCCACAGCAACAGAACTAGCCCCATGTCTCTCAATCAGGGAGGTCCCCAGCCAGCTTTGGAAAGACACCCATCAAAAACAGCGAGCAAACCTAAAGAAGGGTTCAATAGGGAAGATACCAGCGGCCGACTGCAGAGGGGCTCCATTCCTCTGACCCTCAGTCACTTCCCAGGAAGCATGCAGAGGAGCCTGGGTGTGCCAGAAACAACCTTTCATAATACGAGATGGACGGGAAAGAGGCCAAGGGCAGGCAGTTCCCAATCTACAAAAGGGCAAGAAGGTGGAGTCCATACTTCTTTCTTGTCTTTTTTTGAGACAGGGTCTGGCTCCATCACCCAGGCTGGAGCACAGTGGCACTGTCTCAGCTCACTGCAACCTCTGCCTCCTGGGCTCAAGCAATCCTCCCACCTCAACCCTCCGAGTAGCTGAGGCTACAGATGCACACCACCATGCCCAGCTAATTTTTGTAGTTTTTGTAGACAGGATTTTGCCATATTGCCCAAGCCGGTCTCGAACTCCTGAGCTCAAGCAATCAGCCCACCTCAGCCTCCCAAAGTGCTGGGATTACAGGCATGAGCCACTGTAACAGGCCGAGTCCACACTTCTAAGCTTGCTATTGCTCTCAGACTTGCAGACCAGCCTATGAAACAGAAGTAGGTAAGAGCTGAGAAAGGGAAGTGGCCATGACAGAACCAGTTCTGCTGAGAACGAGGACTCAAGTCAGGCTATGCTACCTTCCTTCCATGGCCATGGGAAAAACGGGTGGGTGCTGTTGGCGTGACAGATCTGGATCTTAACAGATCAGACTTAAACTAATTTGCTCATGATGAAGGTGTGGATTTGGAGGGACCTGGGAATCTCACAGACCTACAGGATGTCCCAGCGATACGTCCTGGGCTTCATACCGGCCCTGCCTTGCCTGACAAGTTGGATGAAAACTGATAAAAGACTAGTCATAGCTTCAGATGGCAAAATCAGGCCAGGCCAGAATGAAAAAAGAGAAGGAATTTAACATGGGCACATGCCAAGCTCTGCATTTAACTAACCAAGACTGCTTGGCATGAACAAAACTGAGACAGAACAATGCATGGAGAAAAGGTCTGGGCATTTGTGGGCCACAAGCTTGCCATGACATGGATGCAAATGTCAGTGGGTGCACCCCCAAATGCCTGTGACTCCCTCTGGTGGTTTCTGTGCACAACTTCGCCCAAAATAGGCCCTACAACTCCATGGGGAGACCTACCCTGGGGCTTCTAGAGCTTCCTAGCCTGCGTGCCAGAGAGCAGAAGTGCCTGGAGGCTACATCTCCACCCCTGGGTAGTCCTTACTCTGAGGTGGGATTGCACCCAGGGCTCCCCTTTAGGGTCTGGCTTGGACTGAAATCACACCCTGCCTTGCCTTCTGTCCCTCCCCTAATTTGCTCTCCCCTCCCTGGTAACTCCAGCATCCTCACCTCCGCAGAAGCTTCTGGAGAACCCAACCCAAGATGAGTGGTGAGGGCTGGGGTAGCCCTCCTCCTCAATGTACTCTGGGAACTACATTTTCAGAGGCCCCTTTCAGAAGGTACAAGTCCCAGGCAGGGTGCAAAGCTGTGGGCAAAGAACCTGGAAAGAGGCTCTGAACAAGGAACTTTTAAGGAAGTGGGATGTGGGCTTTGATCACAGCCAAGCTAGCAAGGTAAGAGCTGGCCCCTGAATGTGTCTATGAGAGGGGTGCCCAACACTACCAGCCTGTGTGCTGAGCACTAACTCAGTGCCAGGCACTACCTGGGTTACTCTATTTAATCTCCACACCAAGCATGTGAAGGAGGCACCATCGTCATCCCCATCTTACAGATGAGGAAGATCATCAAGGCTTGCAACTTGCCCAAGATCACATGGCTATAGGTGTGGACCCAGATTCAAACTCCAGCTTTAGCCCACTAAGCTACAGTGGCCGACCCCAGCCCAAAGTGTTAGGACCTGTGTGCAGGAGACCCCTTCAGCTCTCGTAAAGTCAGGATCTAACATGTCTAGGGGGACGGAGACCCAATCCAGGTGACACAGGAGGTAAGATCACAGTGGAACAGGCCATCCCTGCTTTTCCACCACCACCAGCACTGTGACCTCAGGCCAGCTCTACTCTACAAGTTTCTTGTGAGAGTGATGGCAGCCTGGGGCCAGACAAAGGATGCATGTCTTGTGTCCTGGACACAAGACAGGCATGCCCAGAGGTGACAAACTCCAGGAAGCCAGGCCTCAGCTGTTGGAGGTCCCGAATGCCACAGAAGGAGAGCAGGTGGGCAGAAGTGGGGATCCCCTGGAGAAGACAGAGGGGGGATTCCTGCTGAGACAAGGGACTCTAGAACTCTGAGGTTTATGCTCCAAAAAACAGAATTTACCATGACAAAGTAAACAAGACCAGCCAGGACCGATGCCCCATCCCTGCTAGGGTCTGGCAAAGCTCTGACCTCTGAATTTGTATCTACTTTGAATTCAAATCCAAACACATCAACAGTAAACTCCAATGCCTCCCACAGCAGGGCCTGAAAGGGACCCAGAAACTCTGGCCAGAAATCTCGAGTCCCAGGGGAGGAAATCTGTAAACTAAACCACTGGCCATGCTCTGGGGCCCTAAACCACTGCAGGTATCAGGCCTGTCCCAGGAGAGGTCACAGCAAGTGGGGATGGGAGGGGTCTCCAGTTCCAGTCAGAAATGAGGCTGCAGTCACTCCCGGTAGACCTGTCAGCAGCAGCCGTGCAACCGGGCTAGGGAGACAAAGATCGTGGTTTTACCAGGAGAGTGGTCTGGGGCCCCAGCCAAGACACAGGTGTTGGATTCCAGCACCACAAATATTCATCTCAGTGACGATGAGGTGAATGGGAGCTTGGCTGAGCCCAGCCCGGCTGCCATCCTGGAGACCTGGGGCAACATGGGGGTAGCACAGAGTGGTACCCAGCCAGCGTGAACGTATGAGAATCTGCATGTGACAGAGAAGAAAGTCTCTTCATGAAATGGGTTTCACTGGTCCCAGCCAAACCCTGTGGCATCTGGCCCTTTCTGCACCTGCTGAACATGCCATTCACCTTGTTCCAGGTAGTGGCCTCATCCTCCTCTTGCTCAAACGGGAAACCTCAGCATCCTGAAATGCCTCCTCCCCAAGTCCACTGCACACGTGTGCCTGTGAATGCGTGTGTGTGCACATGTACGAACTCAGTTCCCAGCTGCCCACTCCATTGCTCCTAAACAGGCCCCTCCTTGGCGTCCCCCAGCACATACTCCTGGGCTCCTGCCTCCCACCTCTTCTGCACCCTGCTCTTCTCCACTGGAAGCCAAATGGATATTTCTAAACTGAAATCTGGTACCCCCAACCCCTTCCACAGTTCCCTAAAGTTCCTTTCCTCAGTTACACCAGGATCTTCACAATGGGGACCCCTGGTCACCTCCCAACCCAACACACACCCCAAATGAGCTGCCACTGCAGAAACTCATCATGGCCCCGGCAGGACTGGCACATCCAAGTATCTGACCAGGCTGTAGCATCTGCCGGGCAGGTCCTGCCCTCCCTCCACCCATGTGGCCCCAACAGGCTGGGGTTTCTGGAGACTCCATGGGGAGCCACGCGTGAAGATGGCATATATCCATGTGTCACTCCCCAGAACGTGAGCTGCCTGCTCTGGCACCATACACAAAGGAACTGACAGCCCCAGAATCCCAAGAAGGGGTGCACCTATGCATACGGGAAAGACACATTTACGGGTGAGAATGGTCCATCGTGGGGCCTCAGGAGGCATCTGACCTGACGCACACCTTTCTCACTTTGTCCTTGTGGCCTGTGGAAATGCCACTCTTGCTTTACAAATTCACCCACCGTTGCATGAGTCATTTCCACCTCAGTGAGTACCAGGTCTTTGAGGATGGGGAAATGTAAGCCACCAGTTTCAGGGTTCTGGGCTTCTAGGTGCAGAAGAAACCCCAGAAATAGGCCAGATCATGGGCCATGACCCCACACTAGCCCTTTGGTCCCTCGCAAGGGTGGATTGGGGGGCTGTGTCCCAGGAACTTAGGATCTTCAAGACCAAGACCCAGAACAAGAACACAAGCCGACTCCCGTTCCTCACAGGCCTTGGGAAATCTTTGGGCAACGAAGTCAGACGGTGCCAAACCCGTGTTTCTGTCTCTCCAAGGCCCCTGGCCCCCACTGCCTAGCCTAGGTCAGGTCATATGGGCAAGCGAGCCCCCACAACCTCACAGCCCCTACCCCGGGGCCAGGGCAAAGCTCCTTCCCTGTCCCCCTCCATTCCTGTGCTCCCTCCTTCCACGAAATCCTTAAGCTCACAGAATGAGGTGAAAATAGTGCAATTCTAGGCTTTGCAACTGATTCTAGGGCAGGTGGCCACCCATTCTCCCCTTCCTCAGGACAGCCTCTGACACAGTGACCCTGGAAGCCTGGCAGCCCTCCGTAATGGTCAGCATCCTCCCCTGCCATCCACAACCCACGCCATGAGCTCAGCCAGGGCAGGGGCAGCCTCTGTCTCATTCACCACAGATCCACAGAACCCAGCACAGAGTAAGGGCTCAGTAAATTCTCCTTGTACATGACTGCACTGCCTGGACCGGGCACATGCTACAGGGAAACACCCCAGGCTCAGCCAGCCGTGGCTTTGAATCTCAGTCCCACCTCTTCAAGCTGTCCAGTGTGGGCCACAACGGCTACAGCCTTGCCAAATGTCTGTCATTTCATCTGTAAACCAGGATGAAGAGGTGAAGACAGGACAAGCACAGTATGTGGTACACAGGAGGCCTCTGATAACATCAGTCCCCTTCCCTAAAGACCCAGGCAGTCCCTGTCACTGGGGCCTCACACTTCATGTCGAGAATTCACTATTTCTCAGCACTGCTTTCAAATAAAGCCAAGAGTCTGAGGAGGCAACATGGCAGAGTTCTGAGGGTGGAGTGAACAAAAGGTCATTTTTTACAGAAAACTCAGGATCTCCCCTCTGCACAGTGCTAAAGCCCTGTCTCAAAGTTCAGAACTCACAAGGTGCAGAGATGTGGCCCTTGGAAATCAAGCCCTTAAGAAAACAGCCCAGCTGTGTGGGGCAGGAAGCCCCAGGCTGCAGTCCTGCGGTCCGGAGGCAGCCGATGTTCAGGTGAGAGATGTGCCCAGCTGCCGGTGGGTCCAGGGGGCACGGAGCCCCCATCATCCCTGGCCCAGGTCTAGGACAAAGTCAGTGGGCCCAGGCCAGCTCCAAGGGCCACAGCTCCTCACTCGGGGGCCGCACTGGAGCAGCCACAGCAGCTGGGGCGCCGCAGGGACTGCATGACAGCCCGCAGTGGTCCCCTCCGGCCCTCCACAGACAGGCTGTCCTCGCTGGTGGGCGCTCGCTGCAGCTGCTCAAACTGCATCTCCAGGTGCTTCTGGATGGCCACACCGAGTACCTCTGGGTCCACTGCAGCTCCGTACACCTCCCATGTCATGCCCTCAGCATCCCATCGCACATCCCGCACAGGGGACGGCGTCTCCTCCAGGCTGGACCCCAGTGTTACCTCTGGGAACACATGCAGGGCTGCAGGCGCTTCCAGGGACGGACTGGTGGCCACAGCCTTGCAGGCCGCCACTGGGGCCGCCTGCACACCAGCATCCTGGGCTGACAGCAGGGATGCCTCTGCAGGGGCCAAGTCATTGGCTGAGGTCATGGTCCACACATCTTTGGTCCTAGAGCCAGGCTCTGGGACTAACCCGCTGGGACCCCAAGGGTGGGCACAGCAATGGGAGTGCCCAGGGAGCCCCCCAGACAACCTACAGTGGATCTTCACCCCATGCTGAGCCTGCAGCCCAGACTCGCTCACTGACGCCACTAGTTTGGGAAAGGCCAGGATCCCTGTGGCAGGTAGGGCATGGCAGCAGCCACCAGCTCCCATCTCCCTCATGCCACAGAGTAGAGCAGCTGGGGGCAGAGCATGGCAGGCGGTGGTAGCCAGCTGTTCAGCGGCTTTGGGCTCAGCTTGGGCACTGCTGCTGTGGGCAGTTGTGTCCCCCAGGTTTAGTGGTGGCACTGACAACTGACTCGCCCCCAGCATCCAGGCTGAGTTAAAAGTCCCATCCTCAGGAGCCAGGTCCTTTTCCAGGCCTGCAAGGGCCTGGCCACCCTGGCCAGAAGTACCACCCGGCTGCAGCTGAGCCCTGTGGACAGGGCTGCTGCCAAGGGCTGAGCAGCTGAGACTGGCCTTCCGAGCACCACTGTGTCCCCGCATCTGGGTGCTACGGACCAGGTCCGAGTGGCTCCTCTGCATAGCAGCAGCACTGGGGGCCCGCAGGCGACACAGGTCACCACCGCCCATGGTGGACACATTGCCCACAGTGCTGCTCCGCCAGTGGCCTCCAGCACTGGGTCGTGCCTCAGGGCCAGAGGCCCGCGCCAGCTCCATGCTCTCAGGCGGGTTCCCCTCTTCCTCCGGGGCCTGGGGTCTGGTGCTGGCCTCGCCCAGCTGGGCCTGCCACACGGTGCTGCTGGCACTCTTGCGGAGCTCTGGCCTCTGTTCCTGGCCTTCACCCAGCAGGCTGGAAGAGCTCTGGGACAGGGGCTGAAGGCGGGGGCTCAGGGGTGCCCAGGGACCCGGCTCAGGGCGGCTGGAGCTCATGGCTGCCTGCAGAAGAGAGAAAGGGAGGGAGTGGAGTTGAGTTGGGTGGCAGCACCTAAGCTGGTTCTACTGTGAGCTCCCACAGTGCTAGGTTCACCAGGGAGCCAGCTTCAGTCCCAGCCTGCCTGACTGGTACTTGCATACGGTTGTACACAAGGCGGTGACAAGACACCAGACACTTCAAATCAAGGTCATCTCACATTAGACACAAGGATGACACTGCAAATTATCTCATCATCAGTCCCAAGCAGTTAGAATCTGCCCTTGGGTGGGGTCCTGGAGGCCGCCACTCTTTCCGCTCTCGACTCTTTACTGGCTGGCTTGTGTGGGAGGGGAAGGGAGAGGGCCAAGTCTGCCGGGGCTTTGAGAGCGAAACTGCAGCCCTAGGGGGTGGGGCTGTGGGATAACAGCTATTAGTCAACCAGTACGGAAGTACTATGGCCTCTTAACGGGCACAGCTGGACAGCCCAACACTGGGCTACTTCCTCCTGGGACTGGCAGTATCCAACTCACTGTGGACAGGGTCTCCTTGGTACAGAGTGGGAGCTCAGAGAAAGTTCACGGGATGAGGGAGCAATGACTAGACACTGAGAATCACCCTGGGCTTCCCCAACCACCCCCATCCTCCCTGGCCTAGCCTGGCTGAGCTGGCATGTCTCTAGGGTTCCCTGACTCCCACCTCCAGCTCCAGGGACAGGGAGAGGCCCCACGCGTCAGCTTTTTCCATGAGGGACGCATTCAGCATCTGGTCATTGATTCCACAGCCATCTCCTGAGCCCCTACTGCGTCCCCAGCTCTAGGGCTAGGGAACATAGGATTCATTCAGACCTTTTTGTACTCCTGGGGACAGTGCAGCAGTGAGATAAGATGCCCACCCAGTACCACCAATCAGACCTACCCTGCATGACATTTAACCCCCTCTTGCCCAGTGTACCTGCATCCTCACTGTCCCCCACCCTCCCTGCCATCACTGTCACTTCCCCTAGCCATAAAGACTACCCTGGCCCCTGACCCAGCTGCAGCCTAGAGCAGCTCTGACCCTCTCCACCTCAGCGTCTCTTCCTGGGGCCCCTTTCCTGACTCTCCAGCCAGGCAGCCTTCATCCCTGACCAAGCACTGGGCCTGGATGGAACAGTTTGGCCAACTGTCAGCCTCCCCACCAGCCTGAAGTTGGCAAAGCCTGGCCTGAGGCCTGCTCCCCTCTGGCTGTCCAACACCCAGCACTGACCTGACATGTAGTTGGCACTCAGAGAATATCTCCTGTGTGCCTAACCAAGAGAACAAGCAAATATAAGAACACACCCACAGAGAAGGGCGCTGAGTGCCAAAAATGGGGTCTGAGGGAGGGCCCCGCCAAGGCAGGAGAGCTCACTTAGGGTGAGAGATGAGAAAAGGCTTCCCGGAGGACCAGCCACATAAGTCAGGCCTGGAGTGAGAGAAGCAAGAACGTGTTCAGGTGGAGAGCGGGGTGGGCAGGAGGAAAGAGGCAAGAGGGGAGCAGTGGGGTCAAAGTGTCTGGGTCACCTCGGCCCTGGCCACAGCAGTGAATTAGGAAGAGCACTCTGGGACTCCTTGACAGGCAGGAGAGGCTGGAGAAACAGGGTGGGGACAGGAGGCAGCAGCTGCATTTGTGCAATCCCAGTCCTGCCCTCCCACCCTAAGCTGATAAGGACTGCCAGGAAGCAACCTCCCCAGCCAGGTGAGCAAGGCTACCCAAGAGGAAATTCAGGAAGGGCTGCGGGACTCGGTTTCTGTGTAATTACAAATGTCTTGGCAGTCCAGCACTCAGGAGACGGCTGGTGACTGTTGAGCCACAGTGAGGATGATACTGGTGCTATAGTCCCTGAGACTCCAGCGCTGCACAACTTCCTATAATGATGGAAAGATTCTACCCTGTGCTAATAGGTAGGTACCAATGGCATGTGGGTACCAAGCACTCGGCAGGGGGCCACTGCAACTGAGACACTGAATGTTTAAGTTTTATTTGGATCTAACTGGCCACATGAGGCTAATGGCTACTGTACTGGACTGTGCAGCTCTGAACACAGCCTCAGCCTGGTAAGGATGTCCCATCCCAGCTGCTTCACGGGGCTGAAACCAGACTTGTCCCTGGGAGGATCAGGAAAAGGAGGAGTAGCCAAGAGAGGGTTCTGACCCAGACCCTGCCCTCAATGAGCTCTAAGATGGACATACAAACAAAGGAGGGCAATAAAGCCTGTAACAGCGATGGTAATAACAGCTGCCAGGGCCTGATCACTCGCCAAGGGCCAGGCATGTGCCACATCCTTTGCACACATTGTCTCATGTAACTGTGCAAGCAACCTCTTGAGACAGTCATTATCTCCATTCTACAGACAGGAGAATTCCATAAGCTCAGAGAGGCTTAGTGACCCCCAAAGGCACACAGCTCGGGGACATCTGAGCTCCTCTCCCCTTCGAGCACTGAGCAGGCCTGTGCCTCACAGCTCTCAACCTTTTTACTGATCTGGCCTGGCCCTGCCAATCGTGCTCATGACATGCCATGGAACAAGTCACTGAGTGGATCCCCACCTGCCCAACTGCTTCTTAGCAGCTCCTGAGGCTGCAAGAATGAAGAGGGCAGGAGGTGTTCCTCCTGACTGGGACAGCCCCTTGCAGGGAGAAAACCACTCATTTGCAGGTCCAAGACCCCAGGAAAGGCCCATCTGGACACCTACACAGCTTCTGGCCAAACCCACCACCCTCCCAGGGAGGGGGCCACAAACAGCCAGGCCAGCAGCCTCTGGCCCCTGAGGAGACAGGTGGAATGAGGTCCTCAGACCCCCACCAAGACCCATTGAGAAGCCATCAGCAACGAGCATCCCACTATGCCTGTCTCACCAGAGGGCTGCCCAGCACCCAGGGCTAGTCACCACCCAGAGACCCCTGTGGTGGGCTACTGGTTCCCTTCCCCCTTCCCCCTCCACAAGTGGCAGGTGACAAAACTGAGGCCTGGAGAAGCTCAGAAATGTCAAAGAACACACGGCTGAAAGTTGCTAATTCAGAACCCCAAGGAACTGACCTGGCCAACTACAACCTGGCCTTCCCAGCTCAGAAGGAAGGGCTCTGAGGGGAGTACTGCGGGAAAGAGGCTTCCATACTGCCTGTCACAATGCTGTGTACTAGGCCAGAGGAGGGGCCTCCCAGGGAGCCAGGTGTGAGGAGGAAGGGGCAGGGCTCTGCTTCCAATGGCGGCTCTTCCCCTTCCTGTGCATGTGCTCACAGGTGCTAACTTCTTTGAGCCTCAGTTTCTCCAATCTGCAAAACAGAAGTAAATCCCCATCCTGCAGGGTTGTTGTGAAGACTAAATGTGACAGCATGTGCACTGTCTGCAACAGTGTTTGTTAACAATAATCTTCTCTCTCCTCTCCCATCAAGAGCAGCTTAAGTTCACAGTATAACAAGTATTAGTACTAGGGGGCAGACAGGCCCTTTTCAGAAGCCACCGAGACACCCCATAGGTTAGCCTTGTCTTGCTTCCCATCCTCGCTACCTTCATCCCATCCTAAAATCAAGTCACCATCAGAGTCCCCAGTCTCCCTATTACCAAAGTAGGTTTCCCAGAGCCTATTTTAAATCTTAACCTAGGAGGCTACGCATGCATACAAGTCTAGAGTCTGCACTTTAAATGCCCAGAATGGCATGCCCACCCTGCCTTTATAACCATGCAGAAGGTTCTGGTTTTGCCCTAATGGGACCCTGGGAAGATCTTTTAGGACGAGATAAAGAAGAGGCATACAGAAGTATCTAAGACACTAGTGTTCTTTGAACGATACCTTAATGTTCTCTCTCCTGCCCCATTTGATGCCGAAGTTGCTATGGCTGTGGCCAATGTCCCGTGGCCAACGCCAGGCTGTCCTGCTGCCTCAGGTTCCACGTGTCGGCAACTGCAAGATCAACCACCTATGTAGCAATCAACCAATGTCATTTTGAGTAAAAAGCCCCCACTTCTCAGACACTTCCAGACTAGCCGAAACATAGAAACCGTTGGGTCAACTGAGAGAGTCCAGCTCCCGCGATGCTGCCCCAGCAGAGGAGCCCAGGCCTTTGGGATATGCCCAGGGGGACTACCAAGACCACCACAAGTGGACTCCATCTCAGACGACACTATGGCATCCATCTAAGTCCCCTCTTGGTTTTGTTCGTTTGTTTGTGAGACAGAGTCTTGCTCTGTCTCCCAGGATGGAGTGCAATGGCTCAATCTCCGCTCACTGCAACTTCTGCCTCCTGGGTTCACGCGATTCTCCCGCCTTAGTCTCCCGGCAGCTGGGACTACAGGCGAGCACCACCGCGCCCAGTTAATTTTTGTATTTTTAGTAGAGATGGGGTTTTTGCCATGTTGGCCAGGCTGGTCTCGAACTCCTGACCCCAGATGATCCGCCTGCCTCGGCCTCCCAAAGTGCTGGGATTATAGGCATGAGCCACAGCGCCTGGCCCAAGTCCTCTCTTGTTAAGTGGCAAGCGTTTGGATGATGACTTATGTGTCCAGCAAAACCAAAATAGAAAAAGCAAACCTATACAGTCAGGCAGGAAAACTGGTTCTATGTTAAAATATGGACCTTACCTCTCAGGGACCAGGCAGGAATGCACACAACACAAACCCCCCATTGCACAGTGGGGATACAGCACCCTCCAGGAGGTGGTTTAATCCACCCCAGAGTGAACGGCGCCTGATAGGAACACTCAGGGCCAACCCTGGGCAACGCAGCAGGCAGCATTCCTAAATGGAGGGTTTGGAGGAGACAAAACCTGCCCTTCACAATGAACGTGCCTTAAGGGCTACATGCCCCAGGTCACAAGCTGTGCCAGAAAAGGGTTCTGGGGTAACTGTGGGGTCAGTGACCCCATGGATGAGGCTCTGCTCACCAGGAAGAGGCCTAGGCGCCCAACGTTCCTCCCCTGGGGAGGATTTGCCCACACTCCCTGGGGGGCAGCTAGGTGGAGAAGGTGCCTCAGCCTAGAAGCAGCCTAGGCGGCCGGTGTGTCCCCATCTGCAGGCTCACAAGCAGTTACGCCCCAGCCTGGGACACACAGGCCCGTTTGCAGTAACAGCGCCTACCCAGTTGCACTCTGCGCGCCAAGCACAGGCCGCCCCTGCTGTGGGGCCAAAGGCCTGAACGCACCGCACCACGCAGCCTCGCCCAGCACAGCTCCCTTCCCGCCCCTGCTGCACAAAGCCCACCCGGACTTAGGGAGAAGGGGGCTCAATACGGGCCCGAAACGAGGCTACAGACCTTCTCAGAAGCAAAGGCAGCGACTACAGGCAAATGGGGCTGTGGGCCGGGGTAAGGATGCGGGGCAGGAGGAGCCAAAGGGCAGCAAGGCTGGGGGCGGGGTAGGCAGCGCAGGAGGCTGAAGGAAGGGAAGAGGAAGAAGGGGAGAGGGAGGAGCGATGGCAGCAGGGGTGGAGGCCGAAGGAGACAGGGTCCCGGACAGACTTGTGAAAAATGGGAGGATGGGCAGAGGAAATGTGAAAGAGAGAAGACGACAGGGCAGGACAATGAGAGGCGGAGAGCGGGGAGTGCGATGCGGTCACCGGTGGCTCTGCGCGCTGGGCAGGGACCAGGATGCCGGGGGTCTGAGCGCAGGAGCAGGGAGGAGTGGGTTCTAGGGCTCAGCAAGGGGGAGGTGCGGCCCACCACGCCCCCCG